TCCGTGTCCTGGCTGTGAATGAGTTTGGGGCTGGACTGCCAGCAGAGACCACTGAGGCTGTTAAAGTTTCTGAGGCTCCTCTGCCTCCTGGCAAAATCACACTCAGTGATGTCACTTGCAATAGTGCAAGACTCTCTTGGGAGAAGCCTGACCATGACGGAGGAAGCAAAATCACATGTTATATAGTAGAAATGCAAGCTGAGGGAGATGATACATGGACAATATGTTCAGAGAGTAAAGCACTGGAAGTGACTGTTACTGGGCTGACAAAAGGAAAGGAGTACTTCTTTAGAGTGAGCGCTGTGAATGAAAAGGGAAGGAGTGAACCAAAGTCCCTGTTGACACCTGTTACCGTAAAGGATACTAGTGCTGAGCCCATTATTAATTTGCTCTCCAACACATTCAGTGTGAAGGCAGGGAACGATTTAAAGATTGAGGTTCCATTCAAGGGTGTGCCGCCACCAACAGTAGCCTGGAAAAAAGATGGCAACATGCTGAAAGAGACAAGCAGGGTAAATGTGCAAACATCTGACACGTCATCTCAGATCATTATCAAAGATGCCACCAGGGTAGATGTCGGTGTCTATGAAGTGACTCTGACCAATTCTGTTGGAAACACATCTGCTGAAATTTTTGTCAATGTCTTTGAACGACCTGGACCACCAAGTGACCTCAGTGTGGATGAAGTGAGCGCTGACTTTGTGTCTTTGTCATGGCAGCCTCCACATTATACTGGCGGATCTCAAATCAGTAATTACGTTGTTAAGAAGAGAGATACGGGGAGCACAGCCTGGCAGACTGTGTCAGCTACAGTTGCAAGAACATCAATCAAAATTTCCCGTCTGACACAAGGTACTGAATATCAGTTTTGTATTGCTGCAGAGAATCGCTATGGCAAGAGCCAATTTGTTGAATTTGAACCTGTTGTCGCCCAGTATCCCTTCAAGCCCCCTGGACCACCGACCAACCTCCATGTTGTACAAGCCTCAAAGTCTGTCATGGTCATTGCTTGGAACAAACCAGACAGTGATGGTGGCAGCCCTATCATTGGATACCATATTGAATGCAAAGATCAAAGCAGTATTCTGTGGACAAAGTTAAACAGAAGCCCAGTGACTGAGAACCAGTTCAAGGTAACAAGTGTTGAAGAGGGCCTGATATATGAGTTCCGTGTCTGTGCTGAGAATATGGCAGGGGTTGGACCCTGCAGCAAGGCATCTGATCCTGTAGCAGCAAGAGACCAGTGCGATCCCCCATGCAACCTCACAGTCACCAATATAACTAACAGCTCAGTTTCCCTGTCATGGAATAAACCAGAATATGACGGTGGAGCTAAAATAATCGGTTACATTGTTGAGCGTAAAGAGCTGCCAGATAGTTGCTGGCTTAAGTGCAACTTTACCAACTTAATGGACACCTTCCTAGAAGTGACTGGCCTCACAGAGGGTGAACAGTATGATTTTCGTGTGATTGCAAAGAATTCAGCTGAGCTCTTCAGTGCACCCTCTGAAACCACAGGACCTGTGACTGTACAGCACGATGTAGAGCCACCCAAAATTATCTTGGAGGACAAACTTAGACAGGTGCTGATTGTCAAAGCAGGAGACCTCCTAAAAATGGAAGCTGACATCTCTGGTCGCCCCAATCCTACAGTTTTTTGGTTGAAGAATAGTAGAAATATTGGCACCAAAGGAAGGATTGAGATAACTGCAACAAAGACGCATACCTCTCTACTTATCAGAGAAAGTGTTAGGAAAGACTCTGGACAGTATACTCTGACCCTGCAAAATACAGGTGGTACCACATCTAAGGTTATCACTTGCAAGGTCCTGGATAGGCCCGGCCCACCTGCCGGACCTCTGGAAGTGTCTGGACTCTCAGCAGAGAAATGCACCCTGTCGTGGGGACCCCCTCATGAGACTGGCGGTGCTGACATTATGCACTACATTGTTGAGAAGTGTGAAACCAGCCGTGTCTCCTGGACTCTTGTGTATGATAACATGATGGCAACTACTTGTAAGATAACCAAGCTGCTCAAAGGAAATGAGTACCTGTTTAGAGTGAGGGCAGTGAACAAATATGGGGAGGGTGAGACTTTGGACAGTGAGCCCATCAGGGCAATGGATCCCTTTACTATGGCATCTGCTCCGATGGATGTTGAGGTCACAAGTGCAAGCAGCGACGCAATGACTATCTGCTGGAAGAGACCTGCCTCTGATGGTGGTAGCCGCATCAGTGGTTACGTCATTGAGAAGAGGGAGAAGCAGGGTGTTCGCTGGGTAAGAGTCAATAAAAAGCCAGTCTATGACTTACGAGTCAAAGCCTCTGGTCTGCATGAGGGATGTGAGTATGAATTCAGAGTCTTTGCTGAGAATGCTGCAGGGTTAAGTGAACCCAGTCTCCCATGCCCGCTCACCCTGGCAGAGGATCCAAAGTTTCTACCTTGCCCTCCAGCAAAGCCAATCATAGCTGATTCAACCAGATCCTCAATCACTCTGTCGTGGAACAAGCCGCTGTTTGACGGTGGAGCAGCAGTAACAGGGTATAAAGTTGAATTCAGAAAATCAACAGAAGACGACTGGGCTGTTGGCGTTCATAACACAGATAAAACAGAGTTTACGGTAAGTGGACTCGCACCAGGAGCAGAATATGTTTTTATAGTCAGATCCATAAATAAGATTGGCATCAGCGAGCCCAGTCCTGAAACAGATCCGCAGGTAGCCATTGAGAGAGAGGAGGAGCCCAAGTTTGATATTAGCCCTGAGATGAGGAAGACTCTACTTGTTAAGGATGGCAGCTCCTTCACTTTGACTATGCCTTTCACCGGCAAACCTGTTCCCACTGTGTCATGGGACAAGGCAGATGTCGATCTGAGAGTCAGAGGACTCATCAATACCACCAGCTCCGTCACCTCTATCACAGTGGAACGGGCAACACGTGACGACTCTGGCAAATACATAGTCAAACTGCAAAATGTCGCTGGATCTGCCTCTTTAACCCTGAATGTGAGGGTTTTGGATTCCCCTGGTCCACCAGCTCATATAGCAGTTAAAGATGTGACCAAGAACTCTGCCACTGTTACCTGGGACATCCCTGAGAATGAGGGAGGAGCTCCTGTCAAGAACTACATTGTGGACATACGGGACCTCAGCAGGAAAGGGTGGACAAGACTCACAGACAAATGCCGCCGACTGTCCTATAGGGTGTCTGACCTGGAGGAGGGAGGAATCTACTTCTTCAGAGTCACTGGGGAAAATGAGTATGGGATTGGTGTTCCAACTGAGACCAAGGAGGGAACAAAAATGACAGGTAGACCCACAATCTGAGGAGAAATCATAAGAGTTGTTGTATTTATTAGGAATAAAATAAGTAATAAGAGCAATGGGATTATTACCTAAGAACAGTGAGATGTTAAAGATGTTAGGGAATGATGAGATATATTAAGCACTTACACTTATTTCATTGCACATTATTCTACTTGTATTAAGAGTAATTCTGTTTTTATTCTTCTGTTTCAGATACAACAGACTGGGACACAAATCCAGGAGCTTAGCTTGTCTCTATTCCAAGGCTGAGTTGATCATCTCCTGATCTCCCTGTTGGGATCCTCATTTATTTCTCATTTACAGTATATACATTTTTGTAAAGTAGTTGTAGTAGTAGTGCAGTTATAAACATTTGCTGATTGTGTTCAATTCCCAAAATATTTTATCAGGTAGTTAATGATGAATACATTACCAAAAGCTACTGTTTTGTAGGTATATTATTAAGTTTTTAATGTTTGTAAGCTGAATTAATTACTCACTCACATTACTAATTTTGTTTATAGAAGAAAAATGTACTGAAATACTGATTTTGTTTGTTTCTGCCACAAAAAAGGCTGTATTTGCTGTAAAACTACAATAAAATGAAGATGATTAGTAATTTTATCAGTTTGCTTGGACTATTTATGGGAAAGAGATTCTACAAGAACAGAGAGAGAATAAATTAATCAATTTAAACAAGCCAAACAATAAAAATAAATAAATAAATAAAACCCAAACAAAAACAGAAAAACAGAGATTATGACTGGAACATTAGGAGGAAGAAGTATTCAGATCCTTTACTTAAGTAAAATTACCAATGCTATACAAGTAAAAAATACAAGTGGAAGTCCTGCATTCAAAATTGTACTTAAGTACAGAAGTGTTATTAAAAGAAAAAAAAATATTCAAAAGTACTTGTTTTGCAGTAAAATGTCCTCTGTGACTGATAATTGACTTTGGATTGTAGATTCAGATGCATCAATGTGTAAGCAGAATTTTTTTTTTTTTTTTTTTACTGTTGTGGATGCTCAAGGTGGAGCTAGTTTTAACCTCTTTACATACAATTAGTTCGTTTAGCCCAGCGGTTCTGGTTGGGCCCCACCAAAGGCTCACAAAATAAATATGAGGGGTGAAATGATTCATGGCAGAAGAAATAAGAAAAAAACAAAGTGATTCACAAAAATGGATTAATTTTTCATACTTCTCTCTTATCTTTACTTTTGTTGTGCAATATTAGCTAATGCTATCCTTTCAGAGATTGGAAATCCCATTTGAACTCATAGACATGACAAGCAGCTCAGAAGCCAAAAAAGGTAAAAACCACTGTTTAATCCTTTAGAAATGTGTTGTATTTTATAAGGTTGTCAGATGATTTTTTTTAAATGTAAAATCTGAAAAGCCGTTAGTAACTACAGCTGTGAAATACTGTAAACGTAGTGGAGTAAAAAGTAGGACAATGTTGCTCTTTGACAAGACGGTGGAGTAGAAGTAGTCTATAAAGTACTAGCAAACAATAGAAATATTCAGTTAAGTACGCTACATAAAGTAATCAGTAATGTACTATGTTACTCTATTAGTTACTATATGTCACCAGCTGGCTACTGTTGACCTGTCAGTATAGCAGCTGTTTACAAGTACGTCACTATAGAAACCATTACGTAGCTAGTACAGGAAATAGAATGCTTTAAGCAGAAACCGGAAGTAAGCGATTTTAAAGCAACAAGTTGTCCAGCAGTAGTAGTATTTGTAACAACAAAAAGTACATCTTTAAGTCGAAAATTCCAATATGGGAACTACGGCAAGTCAACTTGGGAAGGATTTGCTCTCAGAATATCAAGTAAGTGTCCAAAGCAAAGTCCCCCAAAGCAGGTATTACATCGCTGCAGACGTTAACCGAGTGGCTAAAGTTGTGAATAGTTGTTTCACGCACCGTAAAAACCGAGGATAACGCAATATCTATCCGACCCTAAAGTGTTAAGGAAAAGAAAACTATTTAAGTCTTGTCAGAGGGACAGGGTGATTTATTTTCGGTCTGTTGTAGTATTTATTTTAAACTAAATATAACGTTGATGTCACGCTGATTAAGACTATGGAAGCTAATGTTGTTGCTAATGTCAGTTAGTTAGATCATGGATGCATTATAGGAAATCAGACTCATAAAAGTATTCTAGTGTGGTGCGAAAAGCACTGTTACCATTCTAATAATGCTAATTTTATCTTTTAGGAACTGACATTCTTGACAAAACAAGAAATTCTTCTGTAAGTGATGAACTGCATGCTACATTACAATCATGTTTAAAAAAAATATTTAATCTGTCACTGATTGTTGAAATGCACAATAAAGTTGTGGCTTCCTTTTTTTCAGGGCTCACAAGAGATTCACTGAACTGCTCACAAAAGATGAGAAAGACCTTCCAAATACCAGAGTACCAATGGAGAGGATTCTTACTCTGCCAGAACTCAAGGTAAAATAACATTTAAGTTAAATGGGAATTGTGGTGTTATGCGGATTGCTTAGTGGTTATTATCATTAACTAAGTGTCCTGTCCTGTGCTTTGTGTTATGTGGAGGAAGTACTTCAAGTACTGATAAACTGTACTGACCCTTGTACTTGTTCCTGTCCCAGTCCAACCCATTCAGGAGAAGAATCTGCCATGTATTCTCAACATGTGAACAGAAAGATGGAAGCCTCACGTTTGAGGACTTTCTGGATCTTTTGAGTGCCTTCAGTGACTCTGCTACTCTGGAAATCAAATCCCACTATGCATTCCGTATATTTGGTAAATAAATTGATTAAAAAGAGTTGATTATGAATAATACATTACAGGCTATGAATCTGTATAAGAAGCATATTCATGTTTATTTTAGACTTTGACGATGATGGAACCCTTGACAGCGGAGATCTGGAGAAGCTGGTTAACTGTCTGACTGGGGAGACAGATGACACAAGACTAACTGTAGAGGAAATGCGACAGCTCATCAGCAATGTGAGTTCACTGAGTTTTTCCTCTTTGAAGATGCATGGAGGCACCCTAGATATTTGTAACAGCCAGTGGATGCATGTCCACTGGCTGTGTTACACATCAGTAACACTGATGTGTCACTGGGCCTAACAGTTCTTCCCTGTGTATGTTTTTTAGATTCTTGAAGAGTCAGACATTGACAAGGATGGAACCGTGAACCTCTCAGAGTTTCAGCATGTCATCTCAAGATCACCTGATTTTGTCAGGTAAGTAAAAATCTGATTATTATTACCAATATGTGTTTGACACGACACAATTTTGTTCACTTAACTGCAACTTTATATTTTCATTTCTCCATAGTTCTTTCAAGATTGTGCTGTGAAGACCTCTAGTGGGCTGTGGAAATGCATCACCCTTTAATTCTGATATTATAGTGTTTCATTTTTGATTAGAGAAATTTTCAATATTTGCCTTAAATTATATTTACCTGTGGATTTTATCACCTTAACTGTTTTTATGTATTGTCTTTGAAATTAAATAACTCTTGTGATTTTTATTTTTAAATATATGTAAGGAAAATAAAAAAATGTTTTCAAAAAGTACTTAATTACCAAAGTTTTTTTTATAGACATACAAACAAATAACTTAGATATATTACAAAATATATTAAATCCAAAGTCTCCATGCATTTGTTGTTATAATCTACACTTCCTGATATGCTATCCAAAGTCCACTGTTCATGTTTATCAGGGGAATTTCATATTTTTAAGAGCAAGCTACTTCCTCCTTGACGACAGCAGCAAAAGTGTTCCATGTCCCACACACTACGTCAACTACACGCATCTGCTGCTTCCTGAAGTACTCCACACGCTGAGGCTCATCTGAACTGATTAAAGTGTGATGTCCAAGTTGGCCGTATTCACCTGAAATGGTAATAGGAGGAAAGATGGACAGGGGAAATTTAACTTGTACTGACCATGTCTTTTCATTACATCATAATTTGATTGGTGCTGCTACTGGGTGTGTTTTTATTTAAACGTAACATATTTGTAATTGAGTAAAATGTATTTAGATGTCAGCTTAGCTTCAGATTCAAACTTACCCCAGCCCCAAGTGTAGAGGTCACCTGTCGCTGAAATCAGAAAATATGATAGGAAAAGGTGACCATGACGCTGACTTGTCACAGAATGTAAATCAATATTATACACCAGTGACAAAAGATGGTCCTTACTTGTTACAGCAGCTGTGTGGCGGGAGCCACAGCTGACTGTACTGATTTCACATGACGGAGTGACATCCAGTAGAGCCGGGAACGCCTGGATCGATATGAATACCTCTTCCTGTTTCTCTCCCTCTTGTGGCTCTTCACCATGAGATGAGCTGGCATCTTGGCACAATGCTCCTGTTCAGTACAGTCAATGTAACTGAGCTTTTACTGCTGAAGATTTTACTCATGAGTGGCTACTACAAGCAACATATATGATATTATACTTGAGTTATAGGGATGGTTCATTTATAAATGCTAAAGCTTTTCCCATACCTGATATGCTATACATTAAATGGTCTATTTTTGCATAGGACATGAGATATCAGCTGTAGCTTATCCCAGTGTAGTGACAGTTGATGGCATTTAGTTTATGATGCTCAAAGTCAAAATCAGTTTGAAGAACTCTAAAGTGATGTCTCTTTCAAATATAATGAATCCACCATCAAACCTGCTTGTTGGCTACTTTGCTGCTGAGCTGCTTTCCTCAGACCTCGTGATGGAAGTCCAAGCTGGCCACTCTCGTTCCAACCCCACACATAAAGGTCACCCCCATCTGTGAAGAAAAGGTCATTAAGACTTTTTTTTCTCTCAAGTTGAGGGGGTGAAACCCTTTTCACTGCCAACATCTTTATACAACATTTACCACTAATGCAGACAGAGTGCCAGCCTCCTGTAGCAACGCAGCTCATGGGCATTCCCCAAAGTGCCTCCACCGCCTTGGGCTCCTCCTCAGATGTGAGGCCTCCGTGCCCCAACTGACCATGACTATCAAATAAACAGACAATACTCATTAAGGTGCAATTGCTCAGATTCCTAATAAAAACAAACACATGAGTGTTAGCTCTACCTGCCCAGTCCCCAGGTGTACACAGCTCCTGTGGCACAGAGAAGGATGGCATGCTCTGCTCCCAGGGCCAGACTCTTGGCCTTCAGGTCTGGTGCTAAGGGGCGGTAGAGGGGAGGTTTTGTGGCTATGTAACCCCCAGGGACCAATGGGAGATTCAGTAGGGGTCCTGGAGTAAGAAAGCAGCAAGAAGTACACTGTTGAGACTCTAACATGTCATGCAGAATGATTCTGATGTCTGCCAGCCAAATCAGATATTAAAATACACATAACCAGAGCTCTGTGGTTGGGTTTTTATTTCCATGCCCCATGATGGAGTCTTCTCTTTATTCCGGAGGTCCCAGGTCTCAATCCTGTCTGGGAAAGCAAGGGTCAAATACAATTCACTGATGACAGCATCTGTACAGCCGCGGCTGTCTATCACTGAGACTCCACAGGACTCCTTGGAGGTGGCTGCCTCGAAACCTGCCACACACACACAGCTGTCACCTATCAAAGAGAGCAAAATGATACATGAGTTAAGAGTGTGGTATTGTAGACGCCTTTTATTTGTGTCAAATAATAAGAGTGTCTGACCACGGCTTGCACAGTTGCTTTGAGAAGTTGTCTTCGACTCACCGATCAAATGCAAAGATGCTCTTCGACTCCAACATGCTTTGATTTGACTGATCTGCGAGCAGCAGCCACTTCTGCCCGAGAGCTCTGTTGGACTGTTCACTTTGACTTCATTGGCGACGTCTCTACCTGCTACTTTCACTGATTTTTCATGGACACATATCTGTCCAAATGCGTTGAAGCCAAATCCGAACCACCGCATTGAAAACGCTTTATTTCTGATGACTTCTCATAGAAACGCTGCTGAGCCGCGCAACGCAGTTGTCCGCAAAGTTTGAACACTCATGACTGTGGAACCGGGATGTGCTGCGCATGCGCTCCCATAATGCTGCAAAATTGAACACTACGCCCATGCGTTGGAGATGGGTATACTCAGCAGAGAGAAGACTACACAGTTCAAGTACAGAGATTTATTTTTAAAACACAGTTAAAGCACTGGGAATGTAGTGAGGTAATCACGCATTGTTTTTAAACACAGCACACAATTAGCGGAATTATATTAACGAAATGTTTTGGTTTTTAAAGGTCAAACGTAATTACAAAAAAGATAAAGTAGTGTGAACAATGTAAAATTATGCCTAAATATATTTTGGGAATAACAATTACACAAGTAAAAATTACAATCTCTAAAGAATGTATAAAATAGTTTGCTGGATGTGCATGAATGAAAATACAATGAAAATGAATACAAACAGTGGAACTAAATTCCTAAATTTCTTATTGCTTTTAACCATTTTTGGTTAAGACAAGAGTAATCGGCGTCTACCCATTCAGACCAAAAAACTGATTTCCTGTAAAAGTTAAATGACTTCACTGGTCCCACATAATACTCAAAGCACTTTAACATTGCCAGGAGGCACATTCACACACAGCAGCTGTGTTTTCAGGGTTCAGTTCCTTTGCCCTTTTCCCTCCCTTCCCTGTTTCTGATGATGCCGTACTCCACGGCCTTTTCCAGACAGTTCTGAGCCGTTTTTGAGACCGGCTCTGGCGTGCCCTCTCCTCCCTTCGCCAGGACAGACAGGATCTCCAGAGCTTCACTCTCCATGAGCATCTCAGCCAGGCTCTTCTCCGCCTGCATCATGTTCTGAACGATGACCACTCCACGATGACGTAGGTCAGATAGTTCACTGAGCAGCAGCGTCTGTACGATCTCTAGCCAGTGGGTTGTCTGAGAAGAGATGACAGTGGGGAGTCATGTGAGCCAAAATATGAAACTAAGGCACTGTCATATATCACAGTGCTGACTTGCTGGAGGTGTGGGGACGCTGAGCTGCTGCAGTGGTGTGCTTACCGTTCCGGGGATGCGTGCGCAGAGCTCAGGCTGCTCAGCGGTCAACATGGCCAGGGTTCCTGCAGCAGCTTTCCGCAGCCTCTCATCCTCCTCTCCGCTGTAGAGCACGAGCAGCTTCAGCCGGTCGTTCCCTGTTGCTAGGTACAGCTTCTGCACCTGAGAACACACCAAATCACCCACTGCTGTTAGTTCAACTTTTTAACAAATTTGTGCCAAAGAATCTAGGATTAATAATGTGTGTCTTACCTCTGTGCTTAAAACCAAATTACACATGCACTCCGTGGCAGAAGCTCGGACCAGGTCGTGCTCCTCAAACATGTAGCCTTCAATTTTTGCCACGGCGTTCTCTTTTATGATCTTTTGTCTGTGAAACAATATACTTTATCACTATATGCAGATACACTACTAACTAATATAAAATTGTGATGTCAGAATGAGAAGTACATTACGAAATAAAGTCAAGACTTAAGAGAGTCAAGTTTTGAGCTGATGAAATCCAAGAGCAATCAAAATGAATATGCCAGCGTCAGGCATAGTCACATACCTTAATTACTATGTGTAAGCTCTCAGCATGCAGAGATGTGAAAGAATTTTCATATTAACTTGCAATTTGCTTGTCAAGCCATTTAACTGGACTTAAAGGAGCTCAGACTTGGCTTGGGACTTGCACTGTAAAAGCTGAGGCACTTTCCCCAAAGGACTTGAAATCAGCACTGGTAAATATGTTTTGATGGCATTTCAATTTCTAGGAGCCAAACTAGGATCCTGTGTGTTTAGAAGTTAAAATGGCACAAATCTGTACCTTTTTTCTGGGGGGGGGGGAGTAATTCTGCTAAATTGTGGGGAAAGAATACAACAGAAGATTGGATTTGCAAATATCTGTTATCATGCTCCCTTTACAACTGACTGTGTTTTGCATGTATATTCTTAGGATAGATTTCCCCCTAGTGGCCAACCTGAGTCTATCACTGATGCCAGCCAGGTTCGTGAGAGCCATGAGTGCCTCAAAGTTCTGCAGCAGGGTGCATTCAAGACTTAGAAGACTGACGAGTGGGCGGACCACCTCATAGATCTAAAAACATAAAAGAGAGAAGGTTAAACAAGACAGACTTTTTACATTTTTAACTGAGGAGGCCGATTACAGATTCTCCTCACCCTCTCTCCTGGAAAGGCAATCTCTGGGTTAGACGTGATGGTTATTTTTGCCAGAGCTTGTGCCGCTTTGATTTTCCCTACATCTGTGTTGTCAGATGCCAATGGGATCAGAGCCTGTGGAGAAAACATACAGCATGTGAACCTCCGAAGGCAAAGTATTCAGATTAGTGCGCAGGCTAAACTTAGCATATTTATTGTGGTGCTCTACCTTTCCTCCACCCTGTGCCACCACTGTGCCTCTGTCTTCCTGCCGTTCCACCAAAGCCAAGAACACCCTGCCGTGAGAAATGGCATTAAGAGAAAATCTACAGAGAGAACAGCGAGTGGAAAAGACTTACTGCCATTTTGCCTACCTGGCAATACAATCTCTACAAGCCTCTGTGAGAGCTGGACTTTCATGTT